CTAAAAGTAGCAGCAGCAGCAACCCAGACTGACTGGAGAGCTTTACCGTGCAAACTGGAGACTGGGCACAAGTGAAATTAGACACTGCTGTCGGACAACACGCAGGCATTTATAAATCCGGATTAGCCAGCAGGTGAGTCCAGATCTGGACCACGGTCTGCTAATCTGTGACCTATGATCTATCAGATCAATGAGGAGCATTGTTTAGAGTAGCCTTCCTGTTGTCCGGATGATTCGTTCCCGTTTTGTGCACTCTGACTAAAACAAAGCGGGAGCAAACGTAGGAGAAAGATGCGCATCCGGTAAGGGAAAAATTCCACAATGCACCGATCTGCGCTCAAAATCAGTGCTGTTCACAATCGTGGCCATTCACATGAAAATTGGCCGAGCGCTGCCGATAGTTCTTTATTCAGAACAAGTAGGACTTAAATCTGTAAAAAAAAATAAATAAAAATGAAGACATGGTGGCATCATTTGCAGCAGACACAACATGAAGATATATCTATACTTCACAGCGAGTCATCTGCATCTGACAAAAACTGTTCAGGCTGTCTTAGACTTGAAGAATAAATGTCTCCACTCTCCATTTTTCTTCCATAAAAGGGTGGGCCTTTCAAAAGTAATAATTATTATTTTTTTTTATTCTTTCCTTTTAAGAGTTCTTGTGTGGTTAGCTGTGTTAAAGTGTAGTTTGTTGGAAAAGAAGTCACTTCCAATCTGAGCTTTCTGACTCTGTACATCCAGCATATCTTGGTTCATTTAACTCTTTTTTTTAGATTGAGGTGCATTTTAGTAGCCCCCATATTAAATGGATGTTTTCATTTTTCTTTTAAGATGTATTTTTTTTCTCTATAAAAATATAGCTTATGGGATTTCTCCCACAACCTTGTAGATTTTCCATCAGTCTGAAGGATTTTTGTCCAGAAACCTCTGAGGTTGTCAGCATGGATTTTGGTGAAGGCCGCCTGGTTTAGGCTTCCAGACATGGAGAGCTTTTTAAAGGGCATGGATTTGGCCCGTCTGCAAGTCTACTTTTTTTTAAAGAAATGCTGTTTTAGGAAGTATGTGTCCCTTGGGCGATTTCATTGAAATTGTTCCGACTGCTTCCGTACATGATGCCTGCTTTAGCTGGCTTGCCCTCAAAGTGTGACTTTAAACTTTGAGAATTGGCAAAAAGTTTAATATTTTTGCCTTTTGTGCATTCTTTGACTAGTCAGCTTAAAAAAAAATCCAACATATACGTACAAAATGTGGTGATTTTCAGGGCACTGCCTATTTGAATGCATTCTGAGATTTTGGCTGACTAACTTTCCTGAGGGGAAAAAAATAATTAAAACGAATGGAGTGCTTTTCTCTTTTGGAAAATATTTTGTCCACAGCTGATATATTAAATAAAAATAATGCTTGGGCATTATTGGGAAGTTTGTTATTTGAGAGTACTCAAGATTTCTGAGTTTTTTTTAAATAATTTAATAAAATCATGTTACAGCCAATATTTACTTATTTAAAATGAAAATAATCTTATATTCTAAAAGTTGTGTGTGTGTATATATATATATATATATATATATATATATATATATATATATATATATATATAAAAAGGAAACAACTATTATTTTGCAAATCCATTAATTATATTTTGATTAATCGGATATTAAAAGATACTTTAAAGATGACTTTTTGCGAAATGAAACCAAGTGAAACTAATTTTCCACTTGAGCAGTTCTGGATAGAACCGATTGACAAGAAAATAATTTGATCTTAAATGCAAAATTTTTACTGAAATGCTAAAAAAAAGTTGTTGGTCAAAGGACATTGGAATTTCATAGTCTGTATTCATATGAAATCCTCCCAAATTGATCAGTGCTGCGTCACCTTCAATGAAAACATCCCAGAAAGAAATTAAAAGGATGTTTAAAGTTGTCTTACTTCAAATACTGTGAGACGGCGCTTTAACCTGACATGAGGGCTGACAGATNGTGCTTTTCTCTTTTGGAAAATATTTTGTCCACAGCTGATATATTAAATAAAAATAATGCTTGGGCATTATTGGGAAGTTTGTTATTTGAGAGTACTCAAGATTTCTGAGTTTTTTTTAAATAATTTAATAAAATCATGTTACAGCCAATATTTACTTATTTAAAATGAAAATAATCTTATATTCTAAAAGTTGTGTGTGTGTATATATATATATATATATATATATATATATATATATATATATATATATATATAAAAAGGAAACAACTATTATTTTGCAAATCCATTAATTATATTTTGATTAATCGGATATTAAAAGATACTTTAAAGATGACTTTTTGCGAAATGAAACCAAGTGAAACTAATTTTCCACTTGAGCAGTTCTGGATAGAACCGATTGACAAGAAAATAATTTGATCTTAAATGCAAAATTTTTACTGAAATGCTAAAAAAAAGTTGTTGGTCAAAGGACATTGGAATTTCATAGTCTGTATTCATATGAAATCCTCCCAAATTGATCAGTGCTGCGTCACCTTCAATGAAAACATCCCAGAAAGAAATTAAAAGGATGTTTAAAGTTGTCTTACTTCAAATACTGTGAGACGGCGCTTTAACCTGACATGAGGGCTGACAGATGCATGGTTCTAGGAAATGTAATCCATGTTGCGAATTGACAAAAGTCCCTTCTACTCTTTCATTCCCTCACCAATTAGAGATGTAGATCTGACAGAGTTTGCAGCCCTGCCAAATCTCTGCAACTCTGGATACGCTCTGTTGCCCCTGAAACATGGAATTTGCACGACGGCGCCTCACCCGCTGCCGGATACTTGAACCGGGTCCCATTGTTTTTCAATGCCCTGCTCCTCCACGTAACAATACGTTCTGTTTGCCTTGAATCTGTAAGCTCCTGCATTAAGAAGCAGCTCAAACAGTGGGATCTCTCCCATTACATCATTTGTCATTATAAATGAATTCTGCCGTCTCGTTCTCTATCTGTAATTCTATGGACGTGTTTGTTTCTCTGTAATCCAAAAAATAGTGTCCCCTCTCTGCTTTCACATTGATTCTCTTATTGCTCTGGGCTTAAATAGATTTGGACGTCAGCATCTCACTGTGTTTTGCGTGTGTTGTTTGAATTAAGATGGACTGACAAGGAGGTCCTTAGTGATTGAGTGAGAATGAAAGTGAAGGCTTGTTTGTGTTGCTGTTGTAAAATACCCAGGGACCCTGTCTATAAATGCCTTGGGCCGTTTGCACCGATTTAAAGAAAGCAATTCAGACAAGTGTGGCCGGGCTATGTTACCCCGAGTGCCATCGTCCTGCATGTCTCGCATTCAGAGCATGCTGTCACCTGCCGCTTAATGACTCTATAGCTTTTCTTTCTTTTTATCTGCCAAAAAATGCCTTCAAATTTCACCAGAAAAAAATTGATTCCTCTATTTCTTTAACTGAAAGGTTAAATCTAATCTGCACAATACAGTCTGTAAATAGTAAAGGACATCATTTAATTTTTAACAGGTTTGCTTAAATGTAAACTTTCTTTGAGCTAAACTGTCCCTATCAGATGAAATAATCAGGAAAAACCAGGAAACCACTGACCCGCACAGTTGACAAGCAGGGTGGTGGAATGTCATTTATTACTAGTAATATTTGTGTTGTAAGCAATGAAGAACAAAGAGGCTAACTCACTTTGTCCACCTTACTACAAGAGGTGCAGGTTTTTTGGTCGTTCTCTTCTGTTTTGGTCCATCAAACAGTGGACCTCCATCTGCAAAGCTCCAAACGTGATGTCCCTGAACTCAACTCAAAACACTTTGACTTTTCCCAAACTTTTACCAAAACACCCAAACTTGTTCAAACAAGCTCTTCTATCTCACTCAAACTTTTCAGTAAAAGGCTTTTTTTTTTTCTTTCAACATTTAATCCCGCAGGTCCTTAAAAAGTCTTAAAAGGCATTGAAATCTTCAAAAAAAAACTAAGGCCTTAATTGGTATTAAAATGTCTTAAATCAGTCTTTCGTAGGTTTTAATTTTTAAAACATCATAAATAGGATTATTTTTATTATGATTTATTTTGTAATCTAAATAAAACATTAAAATTGACCCTTTTTTTGTTTAAAAAAATAA